TCACTCAGAGAGTCCGGACCAGACATGAAACTGTCGTCACTCAGAGAGTCTGGACCAGACAGGAAACCATCGTCACTCAGAGAGTCTGAACCAGACAGGAAACCATCGTCACTGAGAGAGTCCGGACCAGACATGAAACTGTCGTCACTCGGAGAGTCTGGACCAGACAGGAAACCAGAATCTGGACCAGACAGGTAACTGTCGTCACTCAGAAAGTGCAGACCAGACATGAAACTATCGTCACTGAGAGAGTCCGGACCAGACCGGAAACCGTCGTCACTCAGAGAGTCCGGACCAGACAGGAAACCAGAGTCTGGACCAGACAGGTAACTGTCGTCACTCAGAAAGTCCGGACCATACAGGAAACCGTCATCACTCATACCAGACAGGAAACTGTTGTCACTTAGAGAGTTCGGACCAGACAGGAAACTGTCGTCACTCAGAGTGTCCGGACCAGACAGGAAACTGTCGTCACTCATGGAGTTCGGACCAGACGGGAAATAGTTGTCATTCAGAGAGTCCAGACCAGACAGGAAACTGTCGTCACTCAGAGAGTCCGGACCAGACATGAAACTGTCGTCACTCAGAGAGTGCATCCCACCACCGCTGTATGATCTGTAAACTTTACAATGTGACAGCCTGGATGGATAGGTGCGCTGTCATACTTGAGCAGAGTGAACAGGAGAGGGCTCAGCACACAACCCTGAGGGGAGCCAGTGCTGAGGGTTATGGTGGAGGAGGAGAAGTTGTGGATCCTCACAGACTCTGGTCTGTTTTTTATTAAGTCTAGTACCTAGTTGCAAATGGAGGGACTTAGTCCTAGTGTGAGTAGTTTGTCCATCAGGGTTTGGGGGATCATGGTGTTGAAGGCAGATGTGATTCCAAGATGGCCGCGCTCAGAGCAGTTGCAGCTTCACAGGCTCCCGGTACCATCCCAGTTTTTAGAAGTTTTGATATTGACTCTGTGCCTGACTCCGCGCAATTTATGCGTGTGAACTATAGCCGAACCGAACTGATGAGAATAGGAGCGGATTTGCCACAAAATATAGCAGAAATCAGCAACAAACTCAAAGCTACGCTCGGCAGAATGCAGATCTTAAAGTCATCTACCTGGAAGCTGCAGCAGAGGCGTTCCAGCGGGCAGAAGAGGAAGCGCTGCTCCCGGCTTAAGAGGAGAGGATGCCGGGCGGGGGTTATGGTGAGGCTACGAGCTAACGCTAAAGCCGGTAAACTCCCCATGCCGTCTCTCTTTCTGTCGAATGTCCGCTCGTTGGACAACAAGGTGGATTTACTTCGTCTGAGAGCGGGCGCCTCAGAAGAGATGAAGAAGTGTGCGGTGCTTTGCCTCACGGAAACGTGGATTACAAGTGAAACGCCGGACTCAGTCTTCCAGCTGGATGACAGACTTTTTTTTCGAGCGGACCGCTGCAGCGAGCTAACGGGGAAATCACGGGGGGGCGGAGTGTGCATTTACGTGAGTAAAAGTTGGTCCACGAACTGTACTGTTGTAAATAGCTCGTGCTCGAAGGCTTTGGAGCAAATAACAGTGAAATGTCGGCCACATTATCTACCCCGAGAGTTCACAGTGACTTTTATCACAGTTGTTTACATTCCTCCGGACGCTAATGCTAATGAATCACTACAGGAGCTTCATGATATCATCAGCTCGCTGCAGAACAAACACCCCGAGGCTCTTTACGTTGTAGCCGGAGACTTTAACCACGTGAATCTAAAGGAGTGTCTCCCAAGCTTTTATCAGCATGTGACGATTCCGACACGTGGAGACCGCACGCTGGACCGTGTTTACACGAACGTAAAAGATGCATACAAAGCCGAACCCCGCCCCCACCTAGGACTGTCAGACCACATCTCAATCTTCCTGGCTCCTGCTTACATGCCCCCGCTGAGACGCTCCAGACCGGTACAAAAGAAAGTTAAATGTTGGATCCAGGACAGTGGCCCCATACTGAGAGATTGTTTTGATCGAACAGACTGGCAGGTTTTCAGAGAAGCTGCTGAAAATGGAGGTTCGCTTGATCTTGACCAATACACATCCTCAGTACTGGGTTACATTAGTACATGTACTGACACAGTCTCCACTATCAGATATGTTAAAAGCTACCCAAACAGAAAACCTTGGCTGAATGCAGAGGTGCGTACCCTGCTGGAAGCCAGGAACACTGCCTTCAGGTCTGGAAACTCAGAGGAGCTGAGTAGGACAAGAAAAGAGCTGGTTGCTGGTATTAAGAGGGCCAAGGCCACATATGCAAAGAGGATCGAGGGTCAATTCATCTCACAAGAGCCTCGGAGCATGTGGAGGGGCATTAAGTGCATAACAGATTATAAAGGAAGGAGCGAACAATGCCCCAAAGACCCATCTCTGCCTGATGCCCTCAACAAGTTCTATGCACGCTTTGAAGACCCGAACAGACCACCCAGCACCAGACTCACCTCGCCACCGGATGAAGAGCATCTCAGCGTGACCTCAGCAGAAGTAAGGAGTACCTTCAGGAGGATTAATCCGCACAA